CACACACACACACACACACACATATATATATATATATATATATATATATATATATATATATATATATATATAGATATAGTTGTGTGTGCTATATTCGTGACACACATATATACCTGGTGTCAAAGCGTCAACTGTATGCTCATAATCTCTTCGCTGCTCATACGCACTTCTATGTATTTCTATCTACGTACACACACACACACACACAGGTATTTCATAAAGTACTTGACTTTAACAATCATGACTCACACACTCTATTTCCAAAACAAAACTCACACCCTGTATACACACACACACAAACACGCTAATAAATGCAATATCACGCACTCGCTCACGCTAATAAATACAATAACACACACTCAGGTGGGCACATACGGCAACATCATGAATCACAAGTCGTCTCTGGTATTTCCAGATGACATTCCTTTGTCAGAGGAGGCGAAGAGTATTGTGCGCGGGTTTCTGACTGACTCAAGCGATCGGCTGGGATCCAATGGGATTGAAGAGATTAAACGTCATGAGTTTTTCCAAGGGTTTGATTGGTCCTCAGCGGCAAACAAGACGAGTATGTGATTGCGAAGATCCCGTTTTTGTTTACTTGTTTGTATAGAGGCAATATGCCGATGTACTTTTGTTCTAATCAACGTACCTGTACATATTAATTCTACGTCTTATATATGTTATTGCACATTTATTTAACCGCCTACAGTTAACGATGTTCATATGAATACGTTTGTGTCCATGTACGCATGGGTGTCGGTCTACATGCGTGTGTACATATACAGCATTGATCGCCTTGGTCTGTGTTGTGAGTGCATGCTCCTGTATGTCCCTATGGTCTACATGCTCCTGTATGTCCCTATGGTCTACATGCATGTGTACATATACAACATTGATCACCTTGGTCTGTGTTGTGGGTGCATGCTTCTGTATGTCCCTATGGTCTACATGCGTGTGTACATATACAGCATTGATCGCCTTGGTCTGTGTTGTGAGTGCATGCTCCTGTATGTCCCTATGGTCTACATGCGCGTGTACATATACAGCATTGATCGCCTTAGTCTGTGTTGTGAGTGCATGCTTCTGTATGTCCCTATGTCGAATGTGTATTCCTATGGCACTCCTCTTGGGATGTCGCTGTCAAATGTATAGTCCTATGACACATCCCCTGGCGGTTGTTTTGTGCCTAAGTGGCTTCGTATAAGACATCTTAAACAAATCGTGTTAGATGCAAACTTCAGAAACATCAAATAAACACGCACTCATTCAGCGTAAAGACACATCACTCAGCTCAAACCCGGTTTATCCCACACCCAGTAAAAAACTTCCCCGGTTTATCTAACATTCATATACTGCAGTGGCCCCGCCCTACATCCCTGAGCTCCTCTCGGAAGTGGACACCACCCATTTCGAAGACATCCTGGAAAAACCCGTATCTAAGGAAGAGTTTACCTCGCAACGGGGATTCAGTGGCAACCATCTGCCCTTTGTTGGGTTCTCCTACACCAAAGCCCAGCAATGGGGTGCGCACCTCATGGCTGGAGGTGGGCCTTTGGCTGGGGTGGTGGCCGATGTCAAGCATGTGACGGGTAGGTTGGGTGTGTGTGTATGTATGATGTGGGTATATATATATATATATATATATATATATATATATATATATATATATTAT